CCAGCCACAGTGGATGCCGTTCCATCCCTTCAATGCTACCTGGAGACTGTACTGCAATGCATGCAGGAGAATGGACTGTGGCTGAACCGAGAGAAGACAGAAGTCCTGAGGGTGGGTGGCCCCTCCATTGGTGGTTTGGGAAACTCCCTCTCTTTTGGGGGAGTGACTCTCACTGCAAAGAGTGAGGTTCGCAGCTTGGGGGTCCATCTGGATCCGGCGCTCATCACGGTAACCCAGGTGGCGTCAGTGGTCTGCTCTGCCTATTTCCATCTGTGGAATCCATTCTGGCTGCCTCCCTATCTTGAAGTTGGGGCAGTCTGGTCCATGCACTTGTAATCTTGAAATTAGATTACTGTAATGAACTCTTCATGGGGCTACCTTTGAAATTGATGTAGAAGATTCAAATGGTGCAGAACACGTTGGCCAGACTTCTCACAGTGGTGAGAAAATATCAGCATATTTCCCCCACTCTAGCTGCCTTGCATTGGCTGCCCGTTCATTTCTGCATTGATTTCAAAGTGTTAATGATGACATATAAAGCCCTAAACATATAAAGCCGCCTAGAGTGGTCACAAGACCAGATAAGGTGAGGTACAAATGAAATAAATAAATGGTTTACGACCTCGATATCTAGCGGAACATCACCTACCACCTAGATCTACCCAAACCACTTGTTTTAGCCATGAAGGGCAGCCGAGGGAGGCCCGGAGATAAAAAACAAGAAACCGGGCCTTCTCAGCATTGGCCCCTTGTCTTTGGAACAGTCTGCCCCCAGAGATCTGTCCAGCTCCCTCACTGGGTGTTTTTAAGAGCAGACTTAAGACCTGGCTCTTTAGGCAAGATTTCCTTCCTGTCATTACTTGAATTTTTTTTCTCTTCCCCATCTTGAACTATATTACTATTGTTTTTTATTTTATTGTATTGTCCTTATTCCATTTTTTATTGTTAACCGCCCAGAGAAGACTTCGGTCTAGATGGGCGAGGTATAAATTTAAATAAATAAATCTTTCTGTGGAGTTCATTATCACGCCATTCCCCAAAGATGAGAGAGGGGGCAGCCCCTTCTGCCCCTTTAAAGGGTTTGTGAAAGACAGACTGACAGGGACTGAACATTAACTAGATTTTAAATCCTTTTTGTGGATGGAGTCAAATTAATACATTTATATACAGTGGTGCCCAGCCTGACAACGATAATCCGTTCCAGGAAAATCGCTGTTAAGTGAAATTGTCGTCAAGTGAAAAAAAAAAAACAACCATTGGAATGCATTGAAAACCAGTTAGTGCGTTCCAATGGGGGAAATACCTGCTTGTGCAGCGAAGTTCCTCCATAGGGTGGCCATTTTGCAATCCCTGTCTTGCGGAAATAGCCCCGGAAAACAGCGGGAAGCCATTTTGCAATGGCTATAGCAATCACAAAAAACCCGTCAAGCGATTTCGTCATCAAGCAGGGTCGTCATCAAGCGGGGCACCACTGTATAAGCATAACTTAGCCTAACAGCAGTCATCTTGCCTCTGTAACTTGCTTTGCTACATGAATGCAGAAACCTATTATATCAGGTTTCTGCTTAGAAATAGACAAAGGAGGAAAGCCGCCTGCATTCCTTTGCTTGCAATTAACTAGTTTTAACTCCTTGCTTACTGATAAGAGAGCATTGGTAAGTAGTGCTAAGGCAGGAGAGAAGAGTTATGGCCCACAGCCTCAGCGCAAGTGACCCCTCCTTTGTGCCCTCCTTCTCCACACCCCTTTGCCTCCCTCTTTTTCATCTAAAAAAGTTGCGTCCATGCACTTTTGCTTCTTTTCAGCTGAAAATAAACAAATATATATCGGATCTCCTTGTCCCTGGTTAATTGAAAATATATCAGAGACAGGTTAATGTCTAGAAATTACTTCTGGCACCCCTTCATGGTTTTTTAAGAAAACCACAAGCAGTCTTGCTTTGCAACATCCCTCAAGGTCATTGGTCCCATTGTCATACAGCTCTAACATTCAGGTAGTTTTTTCTTGATATGCAGCTCAAATCTGGCTTCCTGTAACTTGAGCCCATTGTTGCTTGTCCTGAATTCTGGGATGATCAAGAAGAGATCCTGTCCCTCCTCTGTATAACAGCCTTTCAAGTAGTGGCCCGCATAGCGACATTGTTCCGTTCCAGGATTAATGTCGCTATACGGAAATATCGCTGAACGGAACAAAAAAACCCCTAGGAACGAATTAAACCCTGTTTAATTCGTTCCTAGGGGGTAAAAACTCACAGTTCAGCGAAGATCCTACATAGGGCTGCCATTTTCGCCACCTCGGAACCGCCGATCAGCTGGGCAGCGGGCTCTTGGGAAGGAGTGCGGGGACCTCCTCCACCCTCCTTCCCAAGCACCGGCCGGCCTTTCCCCGCAGCTGGGCGGTGGGCTCTTGGGAAGGAGGGCAGGGACCTCCTCCACTCTCCTTCCCAAGCGCTGGCCAGCCTTTCCCCCCAGCTGGCCAGCGGGCACTCAGGAAGGAGTGCAGGGACCTCCTCCACCCTCCTTCCCAAGCACTGGCCGGCCTTTCCCCGCAGCTGGGTGGTGGGCTCTTGGGAAGCAGTGCAGGGACCTCCTCCACCCTCCTTCCCAAGCGCAGTCCGGCCTTTCCCCCAGCTGGGCGGCGGGCTCAAGCGGCGGCGGTGGCTGCAGGGTGGGGGTGTCCCGAAGGCTTCCAGGCCTTTGCCTGGAAGCCTTCGGGACCCCCCAACCCTGCCCCCGCTGCCGCTGAGAGCCTTCCGAGCTCTCAAAGGGCTTTCTGCAATGTTGGAGGGGGACCCTTTGAGAGCTCGGAAGGCAAATGTCGGCAGTGGCTTAGGGGTCCTTCCAAGGCCGCCGCCCACCGCCGACATTTTCCCCCAGCTGAGCGGCGGGGCTGCCGCTGAGCTGGGGGGAAATGCCCCTTCCAAAGGGGAATGCAGGTGGTGGCTTCGGAAGGGTCCTTCCAAGGCCACCGCCGGCATTTCCCCCCAGCTGAGGGCGGGGCTTCAAATCTCCCACCGCTCAGCTGGGGGAAAATTGGGCTATGGGGAAAAATCGCAAAGCGATTTTTCCCCATAGTCAACATCGTAATGCGATCGCAAAAGCGATCGCAAAATCCGCATCGGTATGCGGATTCATCGTTAAACGGGGCCCTCGTTAAGCGAGGCACCACTGTATTTGAAAAGTGCTATAAACATGTACAATTCTTTCAGCCTTTCCTCAGAAGGCATGGTTTCCAGCTCCCTGATCATCCTTGTCGCCCTCCTCTGAACTTGTTCCAATTTGTTAGAATCCTTCTTGAAGGGTGATGTCCAGAACTGGACACAGTAATCAAGGTCAAGGTCCCTCATTAATTTTATTATATTCTAAAAAAAGAAGTAATTTCTCATATTTTCTGCATCGAACTCAGTGCAGCTCGTGTTCAATCAAACCTCCAAGCCAGTGTTAAATTTCAGTATTATTTCAACCATTTTCTGAATCTAAGCTTCAGCATAAATTCTACTTTCTGAAGCCTAATTATCAGTGAGGTATGTGATTCATTCATTCATGAGTCAAAAACTTGTTCTGTAGCTAGGCGTGCATAAATTGCAGTTGTGTGCAAGGTTTTGTCAAAAATACTGAAATGAAAGTCACATCCAGGAAGAATTTCCATGGGCACAGTTGCAAGTTCGCTTGTGTTGTTTTTTGTGTAAAAGCAAATTGTGCAGTTCACTGCAGAACTGGTGTGTAGGCAGACATCTTGCTTGGGTGTAATCTATTAGTGAACATAATCTGGTATAAATTTACATATTCTGGTATAAATTTACATTAACCTGAGTACAACAGCATTTCAGTTTAATTCAGAGTGGTCGATCAGACCAGATGGTCGGGATATAAATTAAATAAATAAATGATTAAATAAATGAATAAATGAATGAATAAATAAATAAATAAATTCCGCCAGAGTGTTAGAGCTTAGTTCACATCAAATTGTTTAATTAATTAACTTTTAATTAAAGACAATGCTCAGAAAAACATACTCAGACAGATGAACATGTTTTCCTAGAATCTTTCATATAATATTTCCTACTGTTTTTCCAAAATTCATTCTGTTAGTACAATCCTCTACCAGAAAGAGGCACTCACCAACCAAAATATATTTCCCATTTAGATTTGAGTTTGGATTCCCCTTAAAAATAAAAGGGAATGTGACAGCATAGTTCTTCCAGCCAACGTCTACTCAAACCACATACAGCTATTCTGATGCTCTCAAATGTTCTTTGTCTATATCAAATGTGTTTTTTCCACATATTAAAAATTTAGCACATTACAGTGGTGCCTCGACTTACAAACGTAATCGGTCCCGGAAGATGTTCGTAAGTGGAAATGCTCGTAAGTCAAAGCACCATTTCCCATTGAAATGCATGCGAACAGGAATAATCCATTCCAGCATTTGAAAAACAACCCAAAAAAATAATAAAGCACACAGAAAGCCCCATCGTTACCAATGGTTTGAATTTCCCACGTTATCCCCCTGCCTTTAGGTCAAAGCTCCACTTGAAAGTTGAAGCAAAATTTTGCGAGTGGAGCTGCTCGTAAGTCAAAATGTCCGTAGGTAGGGGTGTTCCTAAGTCGAGGCGCCACTGTACATGTATTAGAATTTAAATTCACCAGTTTCATGTTAAATTAGATTTCCATTATTACTGTAGCTCCTTCTGCATTCCATGCACCTTATGTGGTCTCACACCTGTGAATCCTTCTGCATGTAAAGGCCACTACAGCTGGTGAAACTTTTTCCATATTCTATGTATTTATTTGGTTTCTCCCCAGTGTGAGATCTTGAATGTGAAATAAGGCTGCTGTTCTCAAGGAACTTCCTTCCACATTCCATGACTTTATACAGTTTCTCCAGTGTGAGTTCTTTCATGACTGCTGTTAATGAACCTACTTTCATATTCCATGCATTTATATGGTTTTGCCCTTGTGAGTTTTTTCATGTGAGCGTAGGTGACTGCTGGTACTGAAACTCTTTCCACATTCCATGCATATATAGGGTTTTTCCCCAGTGTGAATTCTTTCATGTGAACGTAGGTGGCTGCTGCAACTGAAGCACTTCCCACATTCCATGCACACATATGGTTTCTCCCCTGTGTGAGTTCTGCGATGTGAACTAAGCTGACCACTCTGACTGAAGCACTTTCCACATTCCATGCATTTATATGGTTTCTCCCCAGTGTGAGTTCTTTGGTGTGTACTAAGGTTGCTACTGCGGCTGAAGCTCTTTCCACATTCCATGCACTTGTATGGTTTCTCCCCTGTGTGTGTTCTTTGATGGGAATGTAGCTGACTGCTGTTAATGAAGCACTTTCCACAAGCCATGCATATATATGGTTTCTCTCCTGTGTGAGTACGTTGATGGGAACTAAACTGACTGCTGTTAATGAAGCTCTTTCCACATTCCGTGCATTCAAATGGCTTCTCCCCTGTGTGAGTACTTTCATGTGAAATCAGGCTGTCACTCCGATTGAAGCTCTTTCCACATTCCATGCATTTATATGGTTTCTCCCCTGTATGAGTTCTTTGGTGTAAACTTAATTGGCTGCTTTGACTGAAGCTCTTTCCACATTCAATACATTCATATGGTTTCTCCCCTGTGTGAATTCTTTGATGTAAAGTTAATTGACTGCTGTGATTGAAGCTCTTTCCACATTCCTTGCATTTATATGGTCTCTCCCCTGTGTGAGTTCTTTGATGTGTACTTAGGTGACTGATTTGGCTGAAGCTCTTTCCACATTGCAGACATTTATACTGCTTTGCCTCTACCAGGAGTTTTTCATGTGAAATAAGATTACTGCTCATTTTGATACTCTTTGCATGTTCCATATATTGATATGGTTTTTCCTTCAGCTTGATTCTATGTTTGTTCAAATCCGAGGTACACTGGAATGCATTTTCTCAGTGGAACATGTTCTTTCCTTCTTTCCTTCTTTCTGGGGGCTGTCACAATTTCATAAACCTTGGCCTTCTGAGAACTTGCATATTTTTCTTTTTCTAGCTTTTTTCCTGTCTTTTCTCTCTTTCTGGCTGTTTAGTTTTTTGTTGTTGTTGTTGTGTTTACCTGCTTCACACTTAGTTCTGTTTGGTGATAGAATAGGTGACTCTGTATAATTCTGATGGTTCTGTTCATTACCTGATAGAGAAAAAAAAGAGGAGTACAGCACAGCAGCGAATTGCATTGGGGATTTACTTTGTTTTTCACATTCATGAGTAGAGACGGGGGTATTTCTATATGAATAACCCCGCACAGCTAGACGTAACAAGCATCCACCCCACCCCCTAAGGCTGGACCACTCACTCACGTGTCCACCGCCACCGCTCTCCCTTCCAATCGCTCCGGAGCTTGCAGTTGGCTATCCACTCATCAGCCTGGCAGGGAGACTCATCTTCCCTCCTTCTGCCAGGAGTGGCTAGCTGACCGAGAGCTCCGGAGCAATTGGAAGGGGGAGCGGAGCCGGCAGAGCGGATGCATGAGAGGATGGTCTGGCCCCAGGGGGCCAGACCCTCGTTACACCCAGCTGTGCAGGGCTGTTCATATTTATATACGAAAACCCCCATCTCTAGTCATGAAAAAAGAAAAAGAAATCCCGTAACTGCATCAGCACAGGAGAAGGAGAAGAGTGATTCCCTTGAATTTTGGATGGTCAGATAGAATGGCAGTATAGTCAGGATTGACATTTTGTTTGTGAAAATGATGAAATCATTTCCTAGTTTTCTTTTTTAATAAAATGTATAAAAACCTTCAAAATCGTTTTGCTTTTCCAAAGCATCTTAACATAAAGTGAAAAGTCAAAGCATAGAGGATTTCTTGAGTCCTTGTGTCTAGATTAGTTGCTCTTAATTTTCTGCTATACCTGCAAGAGAAAAACTGAAAATTGTTGAATGTGAGCAGTTAAGTAAACAAAAATACAGGGATTGTTTAACCAGAATGAAACTGAAGACAGACAAGAGCACAGATGATGTAAAAAGCATCTAAAAATGGTTCAGTTACTCAGGAGAATTATACAATAATTAATGGATCTCTCAAGGAGACACTCATTAGGCCCAAAGGGAAGAAACCAAGTTTGGCGGCGGAAAACATTGACAATTATAGGCCTGTCGCCAATGTTTCTTCCCTTAGCAAAGTGGTAGAGAGGATGGTGGCTGACTAGCTCCAGGCTCTTTTGGATGAAACCAATGCCCTAGATCCATTCCAGTCGGGCGTCAGGCCGCACCATGGTACGGAAATGGCATTGGTCGCCCTTTCGATGACCTGCTGAGGGAGGCTGACAGGAACAAAATGTCTTTGTTGGTCCTCCTCGATATCTCAGCAGTCTTCGATACCGTCGACCATGGTATCCTCCTGGGGAGGCTCTCTGAGCTCGTAATCGGTGGTCTGGCGCTTGCCTGGCTCCAATCCTTCTTGGAGGACCGTCCTCAGAGAGTACAGCTTGGGGAGAGTGTTTCAACCCCATGAAACCTCAATTGTGGGGTTCTTCAGGGCTCAATTATCTCCCCAATGCTGTTTAATATCTACATGAGGCTGCTGGGTGGGGTCATCAGGGGATGTGGGGCTTCGCGCCATCAGTACGCTGATGACACCCAGCTCTACATCTCCTTTTCTCCAACCACAGTGGATGCCGTTCTGTCCTTTCAGCGCTGCCTGGAGGCTGTACTGTAATGGATGCAGGAGAATGGACTGAGGCTGAACCCAGACAAGACGGAGATCCTGAGGGTGGGTGGCCCCTCCATTGGTGGTTTGGGAAACTCCCTCTCTTTTGGGGGAGTGAGGTTCGCAGCTTGGGGGTCCATCTGGATCCGGCGCTCATCACGGAAACCCAGGTGGCGTCAGTGGCCCACTCTGCCTATTTCCATCTGTGGCCCAGCTGCCTCCCTATCTTGAAGTTGGGGCACTCACCACTCTGCGCTTGTAGTCTTGAGATTAGACTACTGTAATGTGCTCTACATGGGGCTACCTTTGAGTGTTGTGGAAGCTTCAAATGGTGCAGAACACAGTGGCCAGACTTCTCACAGGGGTGAGAAAATATCAGCATATCTCCCCCACTCTGGCTGCCTTGCATTGGCTGCCTGTTCGTTTCCGCATTGATTTCAAAGTGTTAATGAGGACATACAAAGCCCTAAATGTTTTAGGACCTCAATATCTAGTGGAACGCCTTCTCCCACCTAGATCTACCCAAGCCACGCGTTCTAGCCAGGAAGGACGGCTGACGGGCGTAACACCGAGGGAGGCCCGGAGAGAAAAGAACAAGAAACCGGGCCTTCTCGGCAGTGGCCCCTTGCCTTTGGAACAGACTGCCCCCTATCTGGCTCCCTCACTGGTTGTTTTTAATAGCAAAATTAAGACTTGGCTCTTTAGGCAGGCTTTCCCTCCTGTCATCACATGAATTTTTTTCTTTTCCCCATCTTGAACTACATTACTATTGTTGTTTTTTACTTCATTTATATTGTTTTTATTCCATTTTTTATTGTTAGCCGCCCAGAGTAGACTTCGGTCTCTATGAGCGGGGTATGAATTTAATAAAGAAATAATGAATAGAACAGAGGAAAATAAATTGCTATCATGACCTGCAACTCATGATTTTTACGTTGAGATCATTCTATCAGTAACAAGACCCTTATATGTTTCTTATAGATGTGGTCAATATAAAAACTGCTGAAGGCTGTGAAATATATTCCTTCAATTTTAAAATGTATCAGAAATATCTACTGTTGGGTCTTAACTTTTTATGTCTACACGCTTCTATCTTTTCTGACTGATGGACTTCTGCAGATGGAAGATAAAACTAAATAAATGCTTATATATCTGCAACTTAACACAGTTAGAATAATCCCATTTGAATCATTGGAACCTAAGGAAGAATTGACTCTTCACATTCCCATTGATGCAATTGCCCCTCTTCTAGTGGGATTTACTATACAGTGGTGCCTCGCATTACGAGCGCTCTGTTTTACGATGAAATCGTTTTACGTTGAAGTTTTTGTGATCGCAAAAGCGATCGCAAAACAATGTTTCCTATGGGGGAATTTTGCTTTGCGATGATCGGTTCCCTGCTTCGGGAACCGATTCTTGCAAAGCGATGATTTTCAGCCAGCTGATCGGCGGTTTCAAATTGGCCACCGGGTAAAAAAACATGGCTCCCCGGTCTTTTCTGGGACAGATTCCTCGCTGCACAGGCAGCGAAAATGGCCGCGCTATGGAGGATCTTCGCTAGACGGTGAGTTTCAAGCCCCTAGGAACACATTAATCAGGTTTTAATGCGTTTCTATGGGCTTTTTAATCTCGCATTACGTTTTCGTTCTACAGCGATTTCACTGGAACGAATTAACGTTGTAATGCGAGGCACAACTGTATTAAACAATACAATTTTGGCCACTCTGTTCCAACATTAGCTTGTCTGTGTCCACTGACTTGCATGATCGCTCAGGCCTTTATTGGCTATCCTTAGCCTGGTTCTCTTTCCAGAAACTGCCTTTGCTCCAGAACTCTGCTTCTGTCTTACGCCATCCACACAATCAGATCAAGGATTTTCTCAGAAAAGTATGTGTATTTCCCAGCCGCATCGGGCCAAGGCTGGCATCAGAACTCCATTCTTCTTAAGCCAAAATGTATCATTTATTTATTTTATTCATTTCAAATATTTAAATCAACTGACTTTGGCTCCTGAACGTGGGAGAATAAGGGGATACCATGTTGCTCATTGTTCAGATGCTTTGACTGATATCATTTTAAAATTGCCAAGTTGGACTCCTCTGTTTACTTGAATGGGGGAAATTTTAACTGCTGAAATGTTTTAAAATATTGGAAATAAGACTTTCCTCACCTCCCTTAATTGGGAAAGATGACAATAGAAAACCACATATGTAATACTGGAATTTCATACTGATTTTTGTTCTCCTACCAAAGAAAAATTAATAATAATAATAATAATAATAATAATAATAATAATTATTATTATTATTATTATTATTATTAAACATTAAAGAGGAGTGTTTTTGTACCTGTCCTCATTTGTTTTCAGTGAAAAGTGGGAAAAACAAGAACGTCTGGAATGGCGTTTAGAGGAAGCCCAGAGGAGGGAATACCTCGGGGATCCTGGAACCCCCATGAGAGAGAGAACCCCTCCGGGGTGAGACCCAAGATGAGGAGACCCTCCTGTTATTAGGAACGGAAGAAAAGGAGGTTCTCGAGGGAGACGGCGACCCCTTTTTGCAGTGACCTTGGGAAAACAAATCCTTGAACCCATTTGAGACAGATGTGTGGTTGCCCTTGCAAGAGAGATGTTGCCAAGTGATCCTTTGAACGAAGCCTTAAGGTTGAATGATTCAATGAATCCAAGTTATGGTTTAAACCTACAAGCGACTCCTGCTTTATTTGGAAAAAAAAGGAGGCTCTATACGAACCCTCACACAGAATGACTTGACTTCCAACCATAAAGGAAAATAAGATGGAAACGGCTTAGAGACACTCTACTAGGTCTGTGATTTGATAAAAACAAAAGTGCACTTTTAGACAGTGGACATCATTGGCAAATAAGACATCTGCATTTTTCTCTTGAATACTTCCAGCATTCAAGTGCCCACCGCCTCCCAAGGCATTTGGTTCCCCTGTTGTACTACTCTTAACAGTTAAGATGTTTTTCCTGCTATTCAGCCTAAATCTGGCTTTCTGTAACTTGAACTCAATATTGCATGCCCTGCACTCTCAAATGATTGAACACAGATCCTGTCCCTCCTCTGGATGACAACACCCCCACCACACACACACGCCCTCCTTTTCTCAAGGGTAAACATGCCCAGAGATTTCAGTCTTTCCTCACAGGATTTGGTTTCCAGTCTTCTGATCATCCTTGTTGCCTCTCCTCTGAATCTGTTCCAGTTTGTCTGCATTCTTTTTCAACTGTGCTACTCTGAAATGGAGCCGGTACTAACAATGAAGCCTGCTCAGTGCCAAATAGAGGGGAACTAGTACTTCATGGGACTCATAGCCTCCTTCCAACTTTATTGATCTATGATTCTATGTGAACGTTGTCCAAAAAAAAATTCATAGTTGCAATATATTACATTTACAGTATTTTCACAATCTACCAGGGAGATTACCCCATCAAACGATGATGTAAGATTAGTCTGGCAGGA